TAAAATTTAAAATTCTTGTTTAAAAGTTGAATTTAAGAAAACAAATAATATATTTATACATTATGAAATTTATGAAAGCATAAATAAAAAGTAAAATTAAAATTATTTTATTGTACATATATAAAATAAAAATCCTTTATATATTTTTTACAAAAAATAGAATAATTTTAGTTTTTTTTCAAAAAAAGTATTTATATGGTATAGAATAAATAAAAAAAATATCTCAATAAAGCAAACTGTAAAATATATTTGAAAATATGTAAATTATTTCAAATTAATGGTAAAAACATATATTAATATTCTTTTTGGAAACAAAAATACTTAATAAATAAATTATAAAAATAATAATTTAAATTTTGTAATAAATAGCTTATTGCATTTTTAGACTATATAAATTTATATTTAATACGGAATTATATTATTATATAATAAAAAATTATATTTTATGTAAAACTTTTAAATTTAAAATAATATATTTGAAGATAATACAGATTCATCTTTTAATAATGAAACTTAAAGATAATTTTTTTAATTATTTGACTTTAAAAATTAAAAAATATAAAATAAAGAAAAAATAAAAAAATAATATTTATTGAAAAAAAAAAAAAAAAAATTAATAATAATTTTTTTTTTTTTTTTAGAATATTATCTGTGTATTTTATATATATTTTTTTTAATTCAATTTTTTTTTGTTTTTTTATAAAAAATATTTTGTAAAAAATATTAATTTAAATAATAAAAAAATGTAAAATTATCAATAATAATAAAATAATCATTAATAAAATGAATATAAATCATTGTAATGTATGATTCATTAAGTATTATTTCTATATAGAAAATTTTATATATATATGAGTTATGATAATAAAAATAGAAAATGAATTTATATTAATAAAATATAAGAGATTCACAAAAAAAGTAAATTTTTGATTAAAAAAGATAATAATTATTATGTAAAAAATAAACATTTATTATTTTTTAAAAATAAAAAAATAATTTATTTGCAGAATAAGTAATACATGATAAATTATAAAATGTAAATTTAACTAGAATGAATAATTCTGAATAAAATGACTTAGCTGACTAATTAATAGAAGAATATTTAAAAATTATATAACCAGAAATAGAAAAATAGTAAACATAATTTGAATTTTATCTTTAGTTATCTTAAAAGAAGAATAATGGTGGTAATAATAATATGAAGAATATGAGAAACATGAAACATATTAATAAAAAAATATAAATAATTGATTACATACAATGATTAAATAACAATATATATACAAAGTTTTATATTATATATTATAGTTTAATAGTTAGTTTTTGCTTAAAAAATTATTATAATATAAAATTTTAAAAGCTAAATATATCTGCAATATAAAAAAATAAATTACATTTTATAATCATATTGATTTTTATTTTTAAAATTTATTTATTATTATTTATTATATTAACCCAAAAACAAAAATAAAATTAATTTTTTTATTTAATTTTAGTTATCTTTTTATGAAATTTAAATTATTAATTAATGCAATTTAATATATAATAATTAAAATAAAAAAAAAGATTCAACTCTATATTAATTTATTAAATTGATTAAAATTAAAGTCTTATCTATATATTAAAAATAATTATAATTAATTATTAAAATCTTTAATCATTTTATTTAAAACCTAATAAATAGATTAAAAACAAACAAGAACAAAAATATTTTATTAATAAGAATATATATATAAATTCTTAATAATAAATCGAAAATCTTCACGAAATAGATATAAAAGCAAGAATTTTTCTAAATTTATTCCACGCACTTTCTATATTAATCATTAATTAAGTTTTATTTCTTTCCTCAAAAGCGTCATATTTTGTTTATTTAGCGATTCCTTAAGGCAATTGTGCAAAATCATCTTTCAACTGCATATGAACTGCTTATAAATTTTAATTTCTTTATTCTATTTATTTTATTAAAGGAAATATAATTTTATAAGTTTCCTCTAATAATCCCATTTGATTAACAAAATCATACAAAGTATTTACTTTTTCTTTAAAAAGTGACATTTCTTAAAGGGCATCTAATTTTCTCGGGGCATTTTTTATATTTCCATTAATATTTTAATCATTTGGAAAATTCACCTTTACTGGATTTTTTAATATTTTAAGGTACATTAATAATCGATGAATTTATTTATTAAACATTACTGATACTTAATTTATCTTTTTTATTTAAATTATTTTTAGTAAATGAATTTTTATTTTTAACTTCTTCAGTTTTATCTTATTAAAAGTTATTTGTATTTAATTAAATATTCAAAAAATTGTCCTTTTTGCAGTCATCATTTACCAAATATGGAATAAGCTTCAAAATTGCCACATTCAACTAAGTTTTATCTGAAATGATTGCCTAGCAGAATTCCCTATAAGTAATTTCTAACCACCTTTAGCTTTTATTAGGCTAAACCTTAGATATTATTTTGGAATAATCATCAAAAGTAATCATACATTCATATCTTGAATTCGATTTTAATTTAAGAGCTGAATATATACTTTCTAATTCATAAAATCTTTAGTCTACGAAAGTATCCAGTATACATTTATTTAAAGTATCGAATCTTAAAAAATTGGCTTCTTCTTCTGAAAAAGTAATAGTTTAAGTTTAATTTTGTTATTATTGAATTATTAAATTATTATTATTCTTCCTTTATTAAAAGTCTTATTGTGTAATTTTTTTGAATTTTTATTCTAATAATTAAATATCGATTTTATATAAATTTTCTTCCTGACATATGGCTTCCCATATTCTTAAACAATAATCGTTTGGAATCAAATCTAAACATCTTTGAGTTATATTAGGGAAAAAAGGTAAAATCTAGTTTTAACCGAAATAATTTCGATTCGTCATTCTAATTAAATAAGCAATTTTGTGCATTATGGTTATTGTTTCAGAGGTTTTCATGTACATTTTTTTAAATTTTTCCCTAGAAATGCCTATTTGTTAGAACGACGATATGTTTCTTAGTTAAAATTACTAATTATCTTCTTCTTCATCATTAAAAAGTAGATCATTTAGACCGTTTTGTTCAGCGAAAATATGTACTCTGTCGTGATCTTTTGAGTATTTTCTTAAACTTGCTAAAAAATCTTTTAAGAAAGACTCCGCAATGTCTTTATTGCCGAATTTTTTTAAAAACCACTCGCATGTAAATTGATTGATAGGTGTTTTTGGCCTAAAATCAACTTCATCTAATATATCGCACATAAGCTTTTCCCCTAAAATGCAATTAATTATGAAAAAAACCCAAGTCAAAGGTTAAATAGTAGCATTATTTAAATATAGGGTGGGTTTTAATAATATATCAAATATATTATTATTATCTTTACGGTTCAAAAATTTATTTATATTATCGTTTTGGATAAATGTGCATTATATTTGTTTGTCTGTAGTTGTATATTATTTCAGTTTTTATCGAATAGCCTCTTTTTCTGGATTGCCTTAGTCAATTTGGTCTTCTTAGTTTTTAGTCTGGGTGATTAATATGTTCAGTTTTTTTGTTATGTTTTTGTTTTATTGCTGGAGTTTTTTGTTTTCTTCTTTTAAATTAGCTACTTGTTGTGTGTAAAATTCTTCTAATTATTGAATTTAAGCAAAAACATTTGAATTTTAATTTAAAGCATTTTAACTTTATGATTGAGCTTTTTTTTTTTAGTTTTTTTTTTTATTTGTATTTTATAATTTTACTTTCTTTTTGTTTCATTTATTTTAATTATAAATATGATTATTCATTCTTTTAGTTTTAAAGATCTATACACAATTTTGTTAGTTCGTCGTTTTCTTTTGTTAATTTATCTATTTTTAATAAATAGGCGTCTATTTTATCATAATTATTCTTTAATAAACTTTCCAAATCTTCAAAAAGCTTACAAACGTTTTAATTTTTTTGATCAATTTTTAAGAGTCCTTTAAATTAATAAATGCTTTTCACATAAATATTATGTTCAGGTTTAGTTTTTCCAAAAACTTCTTATTCCTTTATTTTAAAAAATGAATATAAGAAAAATAATTATTTACTCTATAATAATAATTGTATGTCTCCATAAGCATTTTTAGTCCTTCATAAAAATCAGTAATAAGAAAAATTTCTTTGTCTTAAAAGACATTAATTTTTTAAAAATTTTCTTCAACGGTTTATATATATTTTTCATAATAAGAAAATAAAGTTTGAAATTCTGTTTTTAAAACTTGAGCGATTTCTTTCATTCCTTCTTTTTCTTTACTTAAAACAATTTCAATAAAGAACTTTTCATATAAATTTAAAATTTTATCCCCTCGTAATTTTTGGGCTTTTAAAAAATCTTAAGCTATCATTTTTTCTGTCATTTCTTTTATTTATTATTCCAGTTATTTATGATTTTCTAAATAATAAAGTAAATCATTTGAAGAAGAGCCTAAAATATAAACTACATTGCTTATTTTGGTTACATTTCCAATTAAATTTTAATTTATTTTTTCTTTTTAATTTTATCCCTTTTTTTCAAGAATGTTTTATGTCGTGTTAAAATAATTTTCTTTTAATTTATTTAAAGGAGATTTTTGACGATCTTTTAATGTAGGCAAACTTATGTTTAATAAATTGTTTTTAGATTTATTTTGTGTACTCTTTCTACTGTTTTTTATTTCAAATATCTTAATGTTGAAATTTGGAGAATTTTAATGATTATGAAAATTCTTAAAGGTATTTTTTTGCATTTATATATTTTTTTATTAAATACACTAAACGATATGATATAATGCTAATCAGTATAAATTATATATTTTAACAGAAAACAAAATTAAAATTAATATATAAAAAAAGAAAGAAAAGAAAGTTTAAATAAAAATTATATACAAATACAAACAAAAAATCTAGAAAAAAGAAATTCTCTGAAATAAGTTAGTATTTACATATACATATTTCTATTTATTATAAAAAAATGTTTTGAAAAAAAAAAAACTATAATTTTAATCAACCATTATTATTTCTATTGGAATAAGATAAAATAAGCATTCTAATAGATCTAGTTTTTAACATATTTCTAAAGGAATCATAGTGACCATAGATCTAATTCTTATAACTTCAATACTAATAGTACTCAGGATAGGAAGCCAAATAAATAAATAGAAAAAAATCTCCAGAATAAGTGAAATAATAAGTAAAAGTACTCTTGCTTAAGTTGAAGAATCAAGCATCAACTAAAGCCCATCAATAAAAATCTTGACTAAATATTAAAAAATATTCTTAATATAAACGTCTTACATGGTCTAAATTTCAATAATATACTATTCTTACATTAATTATATTGTGCTTCTCTTCAGCTGCTCTTCTTAATTTGGGAATTACAAAGCTAACTTTTCAAATTTAGTCGCAACCATTCTAAAATTTTCAATATGTCTAGGCAAAGCAATAGCGAAACCTTGCATAATAGTTCCATTTGCATAATCATAGCAATCTTAAGTTGATACTTTTTTCTCAGTTGTTAATATACCACATGTTTTATTGCTCATCATAACACTTTCAAAAGCATCAACAAAAGAAAAATGATGCGATCCTAAGTTTTTTGAATGTTCTTTTTACATAGAGGAGCTTAGAGTGTACATTTCATTTATTGAATTGTTTAAATAATCAAAACTGTTTATTCCATAAGCAGGATAGGAAGGTTGTACAAGCATTTACCTTTGTACATTGTTACTAAAGGAAAAATAGCTTTCAATCATACATGTTACATTCGCTTCGCTTATAAAAAGTTTAATATTATCAGAAATTTATATGGAGAAATAATAAGTAAGCCCAAAATAAATTTCAAGGACAACAACAGAAATAAAAAAAGGAATGAAAAAATTGCTTTTGTTTTTTAAATCGATTTTAAATTTTTTTCTTTTCTTTCCTCTCATTCTTAAAAGAGAATCGTCATCGTTGTTTCCTTTACTTTATAAAGAAT